CAAGTAGAATTTCTAGGGTATATTATTAGTTCAGATGGAGTCAAACCCAATGAAAAAAAGATTGAAACAATTAGAGCATTTCCTGAACCTAAATCAATCAAGGATGTACGATCATTCCTTGGTATGATGGGTTACTATAGAAGATTCGTGAAGGACTTTGCGAAAATCGCAAAACCCCTCACTAACCTTCTAAGAGGGGAGGGAGTTCATTCGAACAAAAAAATTTCTCTTTCCTCTGACCAAAAAACGTGTTTTGAAAGGATGAAAAATATTTTAACGTCATCGGATATATTAATTTACCCAGATTACAGCAAACCATTTCTCCTAACTACTGATGCTTCTGATTTTGCCATTGGAGCAGTATTGTCTCAAGGAGAAGTTGGAAAAGACAAACCTATTCATTTTGCGTCTAGGACATTGTCAAAATCTGAGGAAAAGTATTCAGTACCAGAGAAAGAGATGCTCGCAATCTTCTGGGCTTTACAAACCTTTAGAAATTACTTATATGGAACACAGTTCAAAATCTTAACGGATCACCAACCGTTAACATTTTCATTATCACCAAAAAACACAAACGCGAAGTTAAAAAGGTGGAAGTCGTATCTCGAAGAGCACGACTATCAAATTGAATACAAACCCGGAAAGACTAATGTAGTCGCCGACGCTTTAAGTCGGATAGTATGCTCTTTAACGGGTACACAACACTCAGCCGAAAATAGCGATGATTTTTACATTATTTCTACCGAAGCACCATTGAATGCGTTCAAGCATCAGGTAATTATTAAAAAAGGTATAAATAATGTTAAGATCGAAACCCCATTCACAAATTTCAAAAGAATAACTATTTATATGAATGAAATTAACAACGCTTCTCTCCTACAGGTATTGAAAACACATTTTGACCCAGGTAAAGTAAACGGATTATTAACAGAAGAGGAAATTATGGGTAGGGTACAAGAAGTCTATAAAGAACATTTTGGACAAAAGAAATCGTTAAAAATCCGTTTCACACAGAGGTTATTGGAAGATATCTGCCAGGACGATGAGCAGTGGAATATTGTTCGGGATACACACCTCAGAGCACACAGGGGTGCTGAGGAAAACAAACGACAAATTCTAAGAAAATTTTACTTTCCGAAAATCCAACAGAAAGTAAAAGATTTCATTACAAACTGTCGCATTTGCCACGAATGCAATTACGACAGAAGCCCTATAAATTGTCCCGTGCAAAAAACTCCTATCCCTACCGGTCCTTTCCAAATAGCCCACATAGATATCCTCTTCCTAGAAAATCTCCACTTTTTAACGTATATCGATAAATTTTCAAAATTTGCACAAATTAAAATGACCGAATCTAGAGCTGCAATTGATTTGGTTCCTGCTATTAAAGATATTCTTCTAAAATATAAAACACCAGGAGTTCTAGTTATGGATGGTGAGAGATCATTCATGACGGGAGAACTAGTAAACTTTTACAATACATATAATATTGAAACATACATTACAGCAACAGGACGCAGTGAAATGAATGGAGCCGTTGAAAGACTACATTCTACATTGTTGGAAATTTATCGAATTACGAAAACTGAAAACCCAGGAAGATCAGTGATCGACCTTGTGAATATTTCTATCCACAAGTACAATTCCACGATTCATTCCAGTACCGGATATACCCCTTACGAAATTATCATCCCTTCCAGCAAATCCTCGACTATAGTTGAGACTGTTTATCAAAATTTAAAGACCAAACAAAAAAAGGACTTGACATATATCAATAAAAACAAAAAATATGCAAACATAAAGAGTAACATAGAAGCTTTCAAGAAGACCAGACAAAGACTAAAGCACAAAAATAGGTATAAGAAAGTTAAAATAAGTAATGTTAATAGAAGTACTGTAACGACTGACGATGGCAGGAAAATACATAAAAATGACATAAAGATAAGACAGATTTGACTGACGCAAAATTTATCATTATTTACAGACTCTTGGCACTATTGCCGCAGATTTGGACTTTGACTATACAGAAAATCGACGGACCAATCTTCATTTACGACCATGGCATTGGCCGAATTCAATATCAATACTACTACTATATACACCATTTTAATATAGAAGCTCTAAGACTCCATATGGTTGATTTGAGAAATAAATTTGAAGAGATAGAGAGGAATCAATTTTCCGAAATTATAATACAAAAATTTGATGATATCAATGACTCATTAGGAAAGGTTATCCATTCTAAAAGGCAAAAACGATGGGATGCCGTAGGCACCGTTTGGAAATTTATAGCAGGATCTCCCGATGCAAATGATTTGAAATTAATTAATTCTAGTATCAATAATCTGGTATATAGCAATAACAAACAAGTAAAAATTAATCGAGAAATAACTTTACAACTTAAGGAAACAGTATTCAAAACAAAACAAGCCATTCAGCTATTCAGATCAAAATCCTCAGAATTGCATTCCATAAACATTCTCTTCAATCTTAAAGATTTAAACTACAAAGTAGAAAACATAATCGAAACTATAATGTTAGCTAAACTAGGGATTTTAAATGAAAAAATTTTAACCAAAACTGAATTAGAAATGTTAAGGAAGGATTTAGAGAGAGAGAATGTTACAGTTCATTCATCATCGGAAGTCGTCACGTACGCCAAAACATCCATAGTCACCAATCAACGAGAGATGCTACTATTCATCAAAATGCCAAAACTAGATTTCAGAATTTTCCGCAAAGTTCATATATATCCAACATTCCATAGTCAACGACAAATCCATGCAACCAAGAAGTTTTTCCTGATTCATCGAACTGCAAAATTTACCGTTAAAACGTTAGAATCAACTATCTACAATATTGAAGATACTGAAGTAGCCGATAGTACATGCATACCGAATCTGTTAGATGGAAAAGCAGCTATATGTAACTACACGTCAAACCCCATAGAGAAGGAAGTCATGCCAATCGACATGCAACACATACTTATCAACTCAGCAAGCAACTTTACCCTATCATCCGATTGTGGTACTACCGAGAGAACTCTTTCCGGATCATATTTGATCCAATACGAAAACTGCACGGCACGAATCGATAACGTTTCGTATACAAGTAAAACCCGAAATATTATTGGAAAACCCATTCACCTCCCTTTGGACGGAATACCTATCAGCAAACACGGTGACATACTGAACCTTAGTATGGAACACCTTCACAAGCTTCAAATAGAGGCACGGAAAGATTTGGATTTACTTCGTTTAAACAGCAATAGCTTGCGTTTTCCACATTGGTCAATTTTTGGAGGAATAACCATTATTCCTATCGTAATCGGTTTAGCTATTCTCAGTATTTTCTCCCACAGAACAACCAAGGTCAAGCTACATACCACCATTCCCGAAACCATTCCAAACGTTAAGGATCATCATGGAAAAACGGAGGCCAAGGAGATCACTCATAACTTCAAAAAACTTACAATAGCGGATATTATGCCCCTGGAGGTTCATCACTAAGGAGGGGCGAGTTAACGACCCCGCTACCTGTACTTGTACAAATTTCATCGACGGTGTCAGCAACTTCTATCAACACGGCAACAGCAGCATGGCATCGATCAGCAGAATTCGTCAACCCAGCAGCAGCGGCATCGAGGGCGATCGTTAGACTTAGTACTCATCGCGCGAGGTGCTGAGTGTGCAGAGAAGGTGAACTGTAGCATAATTCGATTATAATAAAGCAGTCTTAGTTCAGTAGTGTAGGGGTTAAGTTGTCTTTTATATTTTTTAAAAAGAAACCCAGGTCGGTGGTTTTCTAACTCGCGTATCTGTCAAGGAAAAGCAAATAAGGTAGTGGAATTAAATGGAAATTACTAATCCTTCTCTGTCTCATTATACAGGTATTCCACTAAGACGCCCACATTCATCAGAGTTCAAAATTTATGTTTATCTTAAAGTTGAGATTGAGTATAGCTGTCTTCGGTGAAGTTTTAGCAACCGGTGGAAACTAACGATTTTAAATTGACTCACTACTTGGCTAGCCTATTGGTCCCAAGCAAATCGATTAACGTACCCCATTCTAGTCGAAATTCTAGTACTACACTATGTTTGTTTTGATTCGCTATGAAAGTTTGACAGATAAAATGAGGGGTTCGTGGATTTTCCCGAGGGGGGCGACACATCTAAATCTCAATTTTAGATGCTCAAAAAATCTCACACTTGCGAATCAATCTTCGAAAAATCTTCTTGCATCAATCTTCTTTCTATCTACTCAGCATGCGAGCAGCTAGCCACAGCACAACGCAATCTTTCCTGCAGCGTAGATAGAGTCGTCCCCGTCGGATGTTTCGACGGGTGCATCGATTAGCTTGGGACCAAAGATAGCACCAGAGCTGAGCCAAAAAGTTGAGCACGTTTCTTTGGGACCTTCTGGTCTTAGAGTTACCTCTATGGTTGTAGTGAATATCAATACAAGCAACTTTACTGATATGAAAACCCCTACCGCGATAATATCCAATCGCAGTCTACGCCACTTGAACTGGAACCAAAGGAGTCTAAATAGGAATTACTGGTATAAACGATAAATTTACGATGAGCATGAAAATAGTCTGATCCTGCTGAGTACAAATCAAATCAATATTTTAATATTTGTTCACATTTACGATAACAATTACTGCTCCATCACCCTCATTACATAGGGTGACAAATGCTATACTGTCCCACTTCTCTCCCGTTATGGTCAGTTCCCAATGAAATTGAGCCAATGTTGGAACGAAAGACCATTATGCATACCATCACCCAACGCAGAGTGTTACACAACTTTTAAACGCCGTTTAAGGGTTCTATGAGGTTGACACGGTGCATGTAAACCGTTTAATCGACCTCGCTGCAAATCATTTGATGACAGCGAGGCAGTCAATTATAGTAATTACACCGATTATGTCAAAAAAGACCATTGTCTTAAATACCGCCAACTGCAACTGCCATGAAACATTCTAGCGCACTATTGCCATGCAATCCATTATCAAATTGCTGCAGATTTTCGGCTTTTGGACCCAACCCTACCAGGGTCACAACTTGAGAAAACCCCTGTTCCACATGTCAATGTACATTATTTGGCTGCTGGGACCGGGAATCATCCACATCGTTCGACAACGGTCCAACTTTGCGAGCATCACCAGAGCCGCAATCGAGTCGATCGGATTCATCAATGGGATTCTTCTGTCAACGAATATGATCATCCATCGATCACTCCTGGAACGGACATACGGCGCTGTACGTTCTGTCATGCAATCAATTGCAAGCGATTTAAGCAAAGATGTACAATCGACGGTTAAACTTTTGGAAACATCCACCGACCTTTTCTTCAAAATATATATTGGATTTCAAGCGATAGTGGGTATTGCTTATACTTTATCCAATCCGGTTTTAACCTTAATCGACTATCTACAAATTGGGGTCTTACCTCCATTACAAGGGATCTTCGAGGCAGAGTAAGTACTATCAACATACTATAACATCGATACATTTAATAAATGTCATTTTCAGCTTCCTTTTCTTTGAGTTTTCATCCACGGTGTGGTTATGGTTGCTACTCATCGTTATCTGTGGCTTGACCATATTCGATTTGATAATAGTGCTCGTTTCAGTCAATAGTCTAAACTGGAGTTTAATACACCATGTGACTGGTTTGTTCAAGTTGGTGTGCATCAAAATTAGCCGTCTGGACGAACTCTCTGACGAGCGTGCAAGGCATAAGGAACTAGTCGACATAGTTCGACTGCAGGAGATTACGTATAGGTATTCTCCACTATTATGATATTTGTTATAAATATTGATTATATTTCATTTCCACTAGGAGTGCACGTGCTATGGAAGAAGCACTCAACGTATATTTGCTAATTCAATTTAGCACGTGCGTCATTGCTATTTGCATGACAATGATAACCCTCACCATGGTAGGTAGATAAACGGATGATTCTGTCAAATTGGTAGAACAGATTGTCTTTTGCAGGCACGTGACGATCGGGATTTGTTGATCAAAATGAGCCTCATGTTGGCATTTGTTCTCTTTCACATATTCGTATACTCAATGCTGGGAACAGAGCTCATGTTTGCTGTGAGTTCAGATTTCTTCCAATGAACCATTATGACTTCATCAACATACACCTCTTCCAGAGCACATCGGTGGCGGACGCTGTATACTGCACGAACTGGTACCAATGGTCAGTTTCCGAGCAACGCAATATACTTTTTATGCTGAGAAGATCGCAACTCATGACATCACTTACCACTGGGAAGTTTTTCGAGCTCAGTCGATCCACGTTCGGAATGGTATTTCTTTTCACTGTTATAACACTCTTGGTTTATCCAGTTATCGATATGTTTCAACACTTTCAGACTCTACAAGCAGCGATGTCACACTTTACGGTGGTAAGACAAATTTACGATTCACAATAATTGAATTTCAACACATCTATAAACGCTGGAGAAGGGCGACCACGTTAGGTATTAAAGAAGAAATCCTTATTTATCAACTTATAATCAAAATGTCAATATCGGTTGTAGTAAACGATAATTCGCAGACGTTTTCATTACCGTCACATGTAGGCAATGCCAAGGCACCTCTGATACCTTAGAACTGCCAAAAGTTTAATTTAAGTCAACACCATTCGAGCAGTTAAAATGAAGTTTACTACCACTAAGGATGAATGTATCGAGCCCAATTAAATAGAACTCTTCTCCAAACAACCCCTCATAGTTCCCAAAATGCCCATGGCAGTCATTTCGTCCGAAGCTCTTTTATCAAGTTCTTGTCTCTTCATGGAATCAATTGATTTTACCCTTAAAACCCTATGCAACTCAACTGAAGACCAAAACAATATACATCAACTCCAAAAGTTACAATGGCACTTCATACAATTTTATGGAAATCATATTAAATTCACCATAAGAATTATCTGATCTGAACTTCACTGTTTCGAGTCAAATAGTTAAGCCAAACCTAAAACTTTTAATAGTTCATGAATTTGAGGAAAATTTCCTACTAACGGGGTATTTATTGGAAAACAAGGGAAATGTAGCATTTCAATAATACAGCAGAAGCATCTTGAGCAGCATAATGAAGTTTATACTATGCATTAGTGGTTCTCAAATTTTTGTTGATTACGACCCTCGTTGAGAAATTCCATAAACTCGCAACCTACATATATTGTAGATGGTAAGAGAACAATGAACTTTTTTTAAAACTATTCTTTAATTTGTTAGGCTCGATTATCATTAAAATTTACCGAGCCGAGGTCTATCTAAATACAATAAATCATGGTTAAGATACATTGTTTTTCTTTTTCTTATTTTCAATTTGCTCTAAATAGATGGCATTAATCATCTTCTTGCTCTCCTCGATCAATGCACACTGTTATTGGTGCTGCAACGTTGCTTTCGATGAGATTTACGCTCACAATTGCGACAATTCCTCCTTTGTAGATGACACGTATTTAGTAGGATGCATGTCATATTGTTATATCTAGCAGTAATCAGTTAGATCTCACTGCTTATGTATTGCGTCCTTGCTGCTGAATCTTTGCCATCTCGATTATCGTTGAGTCCTGTTGAATAATTATAATCGGCATCTGTAGTGGAATACTCTTCTCTCTCTTTCTCTATCACTTTTCGATGTTTTTCGAATCTCTTCTCATGATTGACCGCCCACGGTTGCTGCTGCATTTACACAGAGAACCAACAGATGATGTTTGGGACTAACATTCATCCTCAATGTGTAAAAACTGAAGATTAAATATTTAGCAATACGCCGGCCGTGTCCGAATGCAGGTCAAATAGGGAATGGGAAGGAATGTGTTGACGTGATACCCGCAGTGGAGGAAACCGAGAAGTCCTCTGCGCTTCCACGAGAAATCACTGGGATGATGGATGTGGGGAATGATTTGCAGCAGGGTCGTTTTGGAAAACTAATTGTATAAAATAAGTTCACACACATGCATACGCACCACGCACTCACACACGCGCGCGCACTCATAACTATAAACTGCCCAAGTAACCATAGGCACAGCTGAATAACGACTTTATCAGTTTTTGTAAGTTCCGATGAGGCCCGCATATAGCCAAAAAGACGAAATAACGTGCCTATGGTTACTTGGGTCAACATCAAATGATAGATCCCTCGAAAAAAGAACTAAACTTATCTTTGTTTGCTTCTTCCGTCATGTTACATGGAGGAATCTTTCAAATCCCCATACTCCAGGCTTTTTACGATCCCCAGTGGCTGCACATTTCGGTAAACCTAGCGGAACTAAACAAAACATTCATAATGGCAATCCTCTGCTTCGTGCCCCACAAGCCAGCTGCTCATGCTACCCGGCAAGAGCTTTGAGTCCCATTCATTTGCACACAATTCACGTGCGTATCGGTTTTGCAATTTTCAACATTGATTTAAAAGCTTCGCGACACTATACTAGCATTACAAACATTAAATTGAAAATTGATGAATCAGCGGAAGAAAAATACGCTCCACCAAAATATTACGCAATTTGGACCAAAATAGACTACTGCGCTGAAAACAATCCCTCAAAACAAATTCGCTCCGCCCAGTATACATAAAAATAATTGTTTATAATTAATAAAGCAATAAATTTTACAATAGAATATCAAAACGACATAAAGGCAGACTAAAAGTAAATTGGTCCGCCCCTCGCACGCCGCTAGCACGCCTCTAGTGTTGGGAATCGAAAATCTTTGACATTGGTTTGTTTACACTTCTATAGCGAACAACTGGTGCAAGTTTGATCAAAGTAGTCGATCGCGTTCAGAAAAACGTCAAATGGAACTCGAAAGAAGAAAAGATATTATGCACAAACACTTGGAAAATTCGGAGTGGTCCGTTTCCAAGCTGGCTAAAGTGCTGAAGATTCAGAAAACAACAGTTTGTCGAGTGCTCAAAACCTACAAGGAAACCGTGAGTGTGGAAAGGAATCAGCGGACCTACGAAAAAACTGAACCCAGGGATTGTCAGCTGCGCAGCAAGGTGTTGAGGTGCGTTAAAGCCAACCCCGGTCCTTCGATCCGAGATGTGAGCAGAAGGTACAACGCCAACTTTCAAACAATGCGGAACATCCTTGCCGGCACATGAAGCAGAATTCCGTGGCCAAAAAGCGTGCAAGGCTTTTGTACGACCGTGTTTTGACGAAACACAAGGGTGTAGGAACCGAGACGAATAGACGAACGAAAACAAACTTTGATGACGGTAAGCTCCGATGTGCGGTATAAGAGGTGAGGAGAAAGGAAACTAGTGGACTCTTTCGTTCTCGCGTCTTCTTACGTAGCAACAGACGTGACGTCACGTCTGCTGTTGCATAAGAACTTCGTGAGAATGAAAGAGTCCACTAGTTTCCTTTCTCCTCACCTTTGTTACCGCACATCGGGTAAGCTCCACCTCAGATTAACTTTTGATCCCGTCCCTGTTTGGATGATCTGCAACATGTTTGCTTAGAGGCGTGTTGATTAACTCTGAAGTCGACATCAAAACAATCGGACATTTTGATCAGGACTTAATCCGAGGATAATACCGGTTGGAGCTACCACCATGACATTATTCACATGTTGTCATACATTGTTTAGAGATGTGAACAGATATGATTGAAACACTACAACGTTTGTTTTATAGGCTACACTGTTATGTGAACTTACAAAGCTATAGTCAAATGTGAATAAAATGAGTAAAACGAGTTAACAAAAATAAAGTGAAGATTATGCTTACATTTTGGTTGTATACGTAGTTACAACAATCTGAATGTGAAATTCATAATAAGAGAATCGAATTATACATTTGGATTAGCAGTTCTAATTGATTATAAATTATTTAGTTTATTTATGTGAAAAGTAAATACAAATTATTTGTTGATCTCAATGATGTTACTTTTACAGAAGAGGAAATAAATAATTCAGTAAGTTTAATTATATTTTATGTTCAGTGTGCTTATGAACGCACACTACACTGATAAATTAAACTATTCCCATTATGCTTGAAATTTAATTAATTTGACATTAAACTCAGTTTAATCATATCGAATGATTAAAAATTATTACTCTCTTTCTAAAAAAAAATAAGCGTCTGATATTAATCCCAGTTTAATCATGGTTGATTAGATTGTAGATTATCTTTTTTTGAATAAATTTTAATCATTTTTGATTCTATTTTAAAAAACTTTGATTTCATTTTAATCTTTTTTGATTATATATCAGTATTGAAAAAGAATAAAATTTAATACTGGGAAGATTATTTCGATTTTAATCATGCATGATTACTGCCGAAGTAATCATGGCTCGGACTCAATAAGGTGAAGCGGGAATCTGCATACTTTTTAAGCTTTTTTGATTTAATTTATCTTTGAGTGTACTGGAAGCTTTACAACAGTTATTAGACTTATCAAAACATCGAAACGCAAACTCTGACCGGATGCCGAGTTGGCTTAAACGTGTGCAAGAGGGGAAATTGAAAAGAAAGTGAACAAGAAAGCAGCTTGAGCATGTCATTCTGTAAATGATCGCTGTAAAGTAAAGTCGTGGTATTGAGAAGAGAAAAAAAATTGAAAATACGACAAAGGGCTACACTTTGATCGATGACGAAACATACGTCAAACTCGATTTAAAGCAGCTTTCCGGTCAAAAGTTTTACATCGTGACTAGACGTGGGGATGTACCGAGAAGATTCAAGTTCATGTTTGCCGTTCATCCGCAAGCATAGGGGCAAAGTCATCTTTTGGCCCGATTTCGCCAGCTGCCATTACTCCAAGTTGGTTCTGGAGTGGTATGCGCTGATTCCGTGTCCATTTCCACTATGCGGGCGCTGATGGGCTCCATCAAAAGGAAGGTTCGATATTTCGTTCAAACTGTAACCATCTAATGCTGTAACTTTGAAGTTTTAATAAAAGTACTGTAAAGCAATCATTAATGAACTTTTATAGGTCGCTTTGATGACAATCTAAAGAAACTTTGACAAGAGAAGTGATATGAGAATCAGAAGCGAAAGCACGGGGGTAGTAAACACAGGGTATGCTCAATAAATCTTGGATAGGCAAATCTTGTCACGTTTGTCTAGAACATTATTTGCTTGAAATTAAATTTAAAGGGGTAACCATAGAAAACGGTCCATATCTCCAAAACTATTAGACATAGAATATTGATATTTTATACAAAGTTGTTTTGGTGGCTACAGTTCCCCCCGGGGGCATCCCGGAGCTTCCAAGAGTGGCGAATATAGTCAATGACACATTTACAGTCTATCAAAAGCCTACCCTAATAAACGTGTACCATATACTGACGATATCTTAGATGGTGCGACCATACCACATAAAATTAGGATGATATCCTGAATTGGTGGTTAGGCGCATCTTATGGTTATTGTTTATGCGGGTATTGATCAAAAATCATGAAGAAAGTGTTGT